GAGGCCAGCGCCCGGCAGAAGGGCGTGACCAAGCAGTCCCTGCTTCCCACCCCCGGCGTGGACACCTGCATGTGGCGCGTGAAGGTGAAGAAGAACCAGGAGATGCCCATGGTCATGAGCATCATGGACATGGCCCGGCGGATGACAGCCAAGAAGCAGCGGGTCGGGATCACGGCCGCCATCTTCGCAGGGACCAAAGGACACGTCCTGATCGAGGCCCGGAACGAAGCAGACGCTTCCGCCGCCATCCGCGCCAACTCCCGGTTCATCCTTTCCCAGCGCCTGGAGGTGGTGGAGTACCGATACATGGCCACCTCGCTGGCGGTCTCGGAGAAGGTGGCGCCCCGGCCCTTGCGGGACGGGCAGTGGGTCCGCTTCAAGCGCGGGCTCTACAAGGGGGACCTGGCCCGCGTCATGGCCATCCTGGAGGGCGGGTCGAAGGTGGTGATCGAGATGGTTCCGCGCATCAACTACGAGGACATGGCGCGGAATCCCCGCGCCGGGAACATCTACGTGGTCAGCGCCGCCTCCCGCCCGGGGCCCAAGTTCTTCTCCGCCTCCGAGGCCCGCGAGCACGAGGTGGTCCTGCACCGGGGCAAGATCCCCGGTTTGAATATGCCCTGTGACGTGGCCTGCAACCTGCACTACATGAACGGCTACCTTGTCAAGGAGGTAAAGCCGGAGTCGCTCCAGGCGGAGAACATCAACGCCTCGGTGGAAGAGGTGACCAAGTTCGGCCTAGGGGCCCTGGCGGAGGATGATGGAAGGGGCCACGAGGAGCGTTTGCAGGCGGCGCAGCGGGAGGCAGAGGAAACGCAGGAGCAGCAGCGGAAGAACCTCAGGGTATTCGAGCAGGGGGACGCCGTCAAGGTGGTGGCGGGCGAGCTCCGGAACTTGGTGTGCCGAGTCTTGGGCTCGGACCCCACCACAGGGACGGTCTCGGTGCGGCCTGTGAACCCGAACCTGGGTCTGCCCGTCAAGATCGAGCTGCAAGCCTCCCAGTTGGCGAACCACGTGGAGGTGGGCCAGCACGTGAAGGTGCTGGACGGGCTCTTTGCGGGGGAGACGGGGATGGTGCAGGCCCTCCTGAGTCACGACGAGCACGGGGCGCCGGTGCCGGAGCCCATCGTGTCGGTGTTGACGGACGGGGAGAACAAGGAGCTGCGCGTGCGCCTGGGCCAGGTAAAGGAGAGCGCGGACGTGGCTACGGGGATGAGCTCTCTGTCCGGGTACTCTTTGCACGACATGGTGTGCTATGGCTACCAACGGTTCGGGGTGATTGTCTGGCTAGGGCGGGAGAGCGTGAAGGTGCTGGACTCCTCGGGGGTGGTTCAGTCCGTGCCCTTGGGGGAGCTGCAGGGGAACCGAAACCGGAGGAGCCACCAGGCGGCGGCCTATGATAGCATGAACAACCGGATGCAGGTGGAAGACCAAGTGCTTGTCACGGACCGCGGGGAGCACTTCCAGAAGCGCGGTGCGATCAAACACATCCTGGGTTCGTCGTTGTGGATCTTCACCAAGCAGGAGACGCGAAATTCGGGCCTCTTTGTCGTCCGCACGCGGGCGGTCACGCTTCAGAATCTGATCAGAAAGAACGCAGCGGTTACCTTTAACGCTCTGCACACCGGAGCGCCGAACCCGACGCTGCAGCAACACCACGGCCAAA